TTTATAGGCAAACAGAGGAATAAACCCACATAGAATAGTACATAGCAGCAAAAAAATGAGCACTAGCTAATAAAATTAAGTATATTAATATTAGAAAAATACTATGTTTAGAAATGTAAAATGATAACATTTTTATAACTGTACATAAGTAGTACAGCTATGAAAAAAGCAAGGAATAATAAATACAAAGTTTAGGATAATCACTATCTTTTCTTGGAGAGAGGGGAGGAGGCAGTAGATGGAATTAGGCAGCAACACAGAGACTTCAACTTTTTTGCATTAACATTGTACCACTTCAGAGAAAATGCAAAAACCTTGAAATCATATAGGTCCTTTAAACCTCATCCATCTCCTCCCTAAGCTTTAGGTTATGGGTGTTATATGCATTACAAATCTAAACATTATAAACCTCACATATAAGGTTATAATTTCTGCTTTAAGTAGTCATATAAATTTTAAAGAGATTAATAAGAAAAAAATAGCCTTTCCTCTGGCATCTCCATTCTGCTAAGTCCACCAAGTGAATTTTAATTTCAGATAATCGTATTTTCAATTTTAGAATATGAATTTGAGTCTTTTATATTTTCTATTTTTCTGTTTATGTTCACAAGAAAAATTGGAAAAATTCTGAAAAATGAAATGTTATATTAGAATCGTGGAATAATGGGTGATTTTTTTATTTTAAAAATTTACACTGTATTTTAAAATTAAGTTAGCATATTTTAAAAAAATTGATCCTTTAAAAATAAATACTGAAAAGTTAGCACATATAATTCTAGTCCAAGTTTCTAAGCTTCCTTTAACAAAAAAGTGACTAATAAATGTCACTTTTTTGATGCCTGAAAAAAGGAATTTTAGTGATTTCCAAAGATCCTCTCCCAAAATGTTTTTGAGAATCCCTGGCTGCTTACCCTTATTCATTAGTCAATATATTCACCTCCTTCTTCACCCGATGCCTCTTGCTATGTATTGGAAAGCTATCTGACTTTTCCCAAGCTCTTATTACGAAAATTTTCAAACACACAGACGAATTAAAAGACTCCCGCAATACGTACCAATATACCCTCTATGGAGATTAAACAAGTACAAATATTTGTGTAACAATTGTTAAAACTGTTTAACAGTTTGCCATGTTTGTTTAGTCTGTGTGAATACATATGTTTGCTGAACTATTTATAAGTTGCAACCATCATTACTCTTCTCTCCTAAATGTTAAAACCTTACCTTGAATATCGTAAAAATAAGGATATTCTTCTACGTAATCACAGTATCAGTATCACATATAAGAAAATTAACAATTCTAGGATTTTATCTAATATTCAGAATATATTTAAATTTCCCAATTATCCCAAGAATGTCTTTTATAACTATCTTTTTCAAATCTGGATTCAAAGTTGTCTTTAAGTTGTCTTTAAATCTATGACAATTTCCCTCATTTTTTTTTAATGACCTTAAGTGGTTTTTTCTGTTTTGTTTTGAAAAATGTTCTTACTTTGTTCAAAATTCTAAAATCTAATTCATAAATATCAG